GATCTGAGGCAGTTTTTCAAATGAAATTTCATAGTTCTCAAAACCTACTTAAGTACTTTTGATTTCTAACAGGCTTCAGGCTAAGTAGTCACATATATTATGAAAAGCCTTTATCTGTTTTACAGCGTAATTTTTTGTGCTGATCTGTATGTATCTCAGTTAAAACAAAAATGCTGTGAAATTGAATGTGGCTATGCAACAGAAGCCTATCTTCATACCATTCTTCTCATATAGATCCTTCATGTACACTATGACAAAGCCAGGCTCTAAACAGGTAATCCTGCCAGGCCCAAGACAAATAGAAACTCTGTAACTAATAGCATTCTTTTTGCTTTTGATTCTAGGTGGAAAACCTCTGATAGTTATTAACTCTGCTCTAAGTGGAAGTGGAATGGTGGAGTGAAAAACAGCTGAGTTTTAGTCCAGGCTCCACCAGTTACTAGCTGTGCAATGTGTGCACGTTACTCAATTTCTCTGAACTACAGTATCCTCATCTATAAAATGCAGATCATAGCACACTTACATTATAGGATTGCCATGAGATTACATATTTGGAAGTACTTTATAAACTGTGAAGGATTATACAAATGTTATTATTATTAATTTTTTTTCCTTAGCATAAGAATTTTATGTTCATTTTAAAAACTGGAAAAATTATATATATATATATATATATATATATATATGAAAAAAAAAACGAGGTCTGTCAAAAAAAAATAAACATAAAATAATTTGATGTTAATATTGATCATTTAACAATGACAAAATTAAGAGCTAATCTCTTGTTAAGAACAGAGCAGCCTTTCCCATCTATCAGTTTAAAGTGAAGACAATGTTATTTGTCCCAGAGTTGGTTCTAACAGACTAATATATAGGTGAGACTCATAAAAGTCAAGGCCACAAAAACTCCCAAAATAAATATTTCATGAGCCCAAGGAGTAGTTACAACACATGCCCTCAGATGCAATGGAGAAAGCCAAGTGTCTGAAGCCCCATTAATAAAACTGGCACGACTGTATGGGCTACTTCAACAGAAGAAAAGAAAAATTTATACACCATGCTACAAGGTAGGTGGTCTAAACCTTCTGACTTTTTCACCCTGCTTACTGAATCCCAACCTTGAACTTCTTGTGCCCCTCCTCTATGTTTCCTTTCCCACCCTCCCTTCTCCTACTCCCTCTCTTTATTATTGCATTGGAAACGCTGTTTAAAATGGTCTTGTTCCATATGGAATACAATTCAGCCATAAAAAGAAGTGAAATACTGATTGATGCCATACCACGAATGACCCTGAAAACATATTAAATAAGAGAAATCAGACACAATAGGCCACATATGATTCCATTTACATGAAACATTCACAATAGACAAATCTGAGAGACAGAAGTACATTGGTCATTAACTAAGATGGGCGGGGGAAGAGAATGAGAAGTAGATGCTAATGGATATGAGGTTTCTTTTTGAGGGCACAAAAATGTTCTTGAATTATATTGTGATGATAACTGTATAACCCTGTGAATATACTAAAAGTATTAAATTGTACACTTTAAATAGGTGAATTATATAATATGTGACTGATACAGCAACAGTTATTTAAAAATGGTCTTGTTCAGGATTCTGAGTAGGAAAAAAGGACACAAGAGTAAATATTTCCATCCTACTCCCCTCCTAAATGTGGCATAAAACATCAGGAAGTTGTCAGAGGCTTTTAAAGTGATATCCTCTCAGTTATGATATATGCATATAACCAGACTACTTTTGTTTAGTATGCATGAAATTACAAATCCAAATGAGTCCTATCGCCCAAAAGTAGTTACTTTAACGTAGCTCATCTCAAAACTGGGAGCTCTGGTAGTGTAGTGCCCTTGTAGCATTTGACTGCTAAACAGAAGGCTGACAGTTCAAACCCACCAGCCATTCCTCAGAAGGAAGCTTTGGCAATGTACTTCCGTAGTGATACCGCCTTGGAAACCCAAGGAGGGGTCGCTATGAGTCGGGGCCAACTGGACAGCACATAACAACAACAAATCTACCATGACAACTGGAAAGAAACACTCACCTGGAATATACAAATTCCAGAATAATGTCCCAAAATCGGTTTCATTACGTTATAACACCACGTTTTATCTTAGCAAATTCTTTGAGTAGCGTAGTGCCTAAGGCACTTGACTGCTAACCAGAAGGCTGGCGGTTCAAACCCACCAGCCACTCCTCGGAAGGAAGGTTGGGCAATCTACTTCCGTAGTGATACTGTCCTGGAAACCCAAGGAGGTGTCACTATGAGTCAGGTCCGACTCAACGGCACATAACAACAACATCAAGTCCTACTAAGTCTTCTGCCAGTATACTTCTGATTATTTACTTCTCCATTTTCACCACCACACTCAAAAGTTCAGGTCCTCATTTTCTTAATGACCAACCAGTTTAAGAAGTCTCCTAATTTACCCCACTCCATTATTCCTCCCTTCCTTCAACAGTATTTATCAATCCATACAGTATACCTATGGTGCTCCTCACATACTGAGGAGCATATAAAGAAACAGCAAATGAGAAATGATCCCCAAACACAATCTATTTGGGAACTTGAGGAATGTACAGGGTTCGTCACAATATTCAGCATATATTTAAGGGCCATAAATGGTGCTGGGAATTCAAGGAATGGGTAGGTCCTCTGGGCTCCCCAAATACAACCCATGTGCAATCTTCCTCACACACCATTCTCACTCTCTTCCTCTCACTCTTTCTTTCTCTGCTCATCTTATTAGATTCTGCCTTCTGTTAAACTACTTATATGTCATGTACCAACTTCATCCAATTTCTCTCCAACTTGCCCCCTCACCTGCAATCAAACTGTTTATCTACTTGCTGTATCTGGAAGTGACTCACTCATAAGTTCATGATTTACTATTTATCAACACAATCTTCCCACATTCTCTCTACTGATTCCCCATTACCACGGAGCTCAAGACCCTTCTTTTGTACGTGTTGGAAAGTATGTAACCACTTTTTTTATTTTTTTTCAGTTTATTTAATTAATTTAAATTCACCTCCCTGTTTATTAGTGTTTCCTAACTAAGGGTATATATCACAATCACCTATGGAGCTTCTTTTATTGGGGGGTGGGGAGGCACACAGGCCTGAGCCTTACCACTGGAGAGCTCCTTAGTAAAGTCTAGGGTGGGAACCAAACATCTTCATTTCTAAAAAGTTCCAGTGGTGACTGGATGCACACCCCAATCTGAGAACCACTGATTTATTACAATGCTCCCCATCCAGCAGATATTCAGAGCTTATTAATTCATGGCATGGAAGCTCATAAATAACTTTCCTCTAAATAGCCTAACCAGAGATAAAATTCTAGACTACACTAACTCAGTTCCAAGTGCAACATGTGGTTTTAAGATTTCATTTCCTGAAGTACTACATGGAAGGACACTATTACCTTGTCTCTTTACATTGTTTCCCATTTGTTGGAAAAAAAAAAGAGAGGCCTGGAATGCAGCCATGTTAGACAATACTACATAAGAATGTACTTTTAGACTACAATTACTTATAAAGAAGACAAGAATAATGTAGAATTGGACATTGTGAATAAAGACAGTATTCTTACTGAATCTGTGCAGAGAAAGGATCAGGAATCTGCTCAGTGGTGTATCCCAGTCTTCCTAGCTGCCAGTCTCCTGAACTGCCTCAGAGAGTCAAGGGTTCCCTTAAGACTAAGGAGGACTTCAGCTGCTGAAGTGACTCTAGTGCAGCAAAGTGCTCTAATCAGATAAGTAACCCAAGCTCCACCCAGACCCACAGTTGCCTCCCAACTGTCCTGGCACATACTATTTACACAGCTCAGTGGGGGTGCAGTATGAACTTTTTCCAAAGTTGTTCCTCACAGGCAGCAGCAGTCTGAGTCACCCATCCCAGGGTGGGAAAGAAAAGTGTGATATTAGCCAGGGGAGTGTTAGGAGATCCCATCACAGCATCTCTTCTATTTGAGAAGTGGACTCCACCTCCTCTAGTAATCACTTCAGTTTCCAGTCATAAGTTGTGAGTAAAGGGTTCCATACTGTCATTCAGCACCCCTCCAGAGCTGTGGGCTGGGGAAAGGGGAACTCCTTCCTCCTCTCCTGCAGGGGCTGTAGATCCCAAATTCCACAGGCCTCTTCCAACAGCTCCATCTTGCTTCCTGCCAGGAGGAGGAGCTGAAGGAGGACGAGTCTGGAAAGACCCCGTGGGGAGGAAGCCGTTTGACAGCAGGTAAAGGCAGGTGGAAATCTCCACGGGAGGGAATACAATGAAAGGCGGCAGATTTAGGCAAAAAGTCACGAATTAATGCATAAAGGAATTAGCCGGTGTTTAAGTGCTAGAGATGTGAGCAGAAGTAAAATGCCCAGGTGCGGAAAGAGTGGTCGGTAAGACAAGTGGACAAAGGGGCCGGATGCTAGGAGCGCAGGGGAGGGAGTGGTGAGTAAGGAAAGTCTCAGGGTAAGAGGGCAGAAGCATTAGAATGGAGAACAAGGTGGCTCAAAGAAGAATCCCCGTGAGGAAAAGCAGGGAAATCAGTAGAGGAGCCCGCTAGCCCACAGGCCAGACTGAGGAGGCCTAAAAAGGAGCTGAGACCAAAGGAGTCAATGTAAGTGACAGCCTACTGAGGGGAAGGGGCAATCAGACATCCTACAACAATCATTTATAGAGTGGGTACAATTGGCCGTATGCTGCGCCAGGCAATTTACAAATTCCACCTAGCTGAATCTTCACAACAAAACCACAAGACAGACATTAATATGACTGCCCCCATTTTATAGATGAGGAAACTGAGGCCTGGTCAAGGTCATACGCAGAGGAGTCAGGATTCGAACCCATGGCAGTCTGCTCCTAGAACCCACAAGTAAAGCCACAGGCAGCAAGCAGGCGAAGAGGGGCCGCGAGCCCTAGACCCAGGACCCAGACCAGTCGAAGGTCGCCCGCCCCGCCCCCGCTCCCCGCCCCAGGCTCAGCGCGCTCACCCGGACGAGGTTGCTGACGGCCGCTTGCACCGCGGCCACGGGCGCGGTGAGGTCAGGGATGGCTTTGCCGTCCACCTCGCCCTCCTCGTGCATGATCACCAGGTGCGAGATCTGCTGCGCCACCGGCTCCAGGATGCTCTCGATCGTGCGTGTATGAAACACCGGCATCGCGGCGGCTAGCGGGGCGGCGAACCGCAGGAGACAGAAAACTGGGATCGCCGGCGCGGGGAACGAGCGAAGACTCGTACTCCGAGCAGTGAAGCGACTCCCGAGTCCGGGCTTCCCTCAGCGTAACCAGTCTCACGGGCGCCCCGCCCCCTCTCCTCGTTGCGTCCAATGGCAGCGCCACTCAGACCCGGGCCGCTACTCCTATTGGTTCCGCTTCGAGATGCTAAGTCCTCGCCTCCGCGCCGCCAAAGCCCCGCCCCCATTCCCAAGGGAGGGGCCTGGGATCCGGGCTGCGCCGCAGGGATTGCGACCGGATTCCCGAACTTAACGCAGGGCACTCCTTATAAGGGCATGGAGGGAGCGGAGCGTGAGGCTTGAGTCGGCCGACCCCGCCCCTCGGCACCACCTCCCGCCTTGAATCTGCAGAGCCCCGCCCCTCTGCAGAATCCTCTCAACGGGGCGGGGTCTGCTCACCTTTGGCAAAGCTACTGTCTAGAGCAGATGCGGAGGCCTTAGGTCTCCCCGCCCCTCCCCAACTTTTCCTCTCATGCGAGACCATCGAAATACTTTTTCCATTTTCTCTCAGTGATAAGGTGAAGACGTTTTTGCTGAAAAGATTCGAACAACAAAAATGCATAGAGATATATGAGAGTTTCATTTAATTATACAAACACACGCTCCACCCATTCCCTTCCTCAGAGATAGTCACTGTTAATGGTTTGGTGTATAGCTTCTAGACCTTTGTCTATGCATTTACTTGTTATATATATCTTATAAGTAAATGTGATTAAACATTTTCCTGGAATTCGATTTTCTTATCCTCAATCAAAATTCCCTAGTTATCTGTCCCTGTTGGCATATGTAAATCTACCTCATTCTTTCTAATGCTTCATTGTATGAAATAAAGCATGATTCAAATAACTAATTCCATGTTGTTATTGTTCGGTGCTGTCGACTGGATTCTGTTTTTCACTATTAAAAAACAGTTCTGTACAAACATCATTGTACTTGCCTCTATGTTACACACATGTATATTAATCTAGGGTAGATGCCTAAAAGTGAAATGAAAGTGCAAAAGTGCACACATTTTACATTTTGAAGATGTGCTAAATTACTCAGTCTGTCACAGCATGCTTTGTATAAGACATCTGAGAGTCTTCGTTACCTCAAATTCTCTTTTTCCCAAACTTCCTCATTTTGAGGTAGAACACTTTTCACTAATGCCTCAAAGCAAAAGAACCTCAAGTCCAATGAAAATAATTTCCTGAGAACTCAACATTTTGCAACATTCTAAACTATGTGTCCCCCCTGTGCAATTTTTGAAGCTATTTTTGTTTAGCAGTATATGTCCAGTATCTGCTCTGCATGTTGCCAAATCCTGCACTTTTCCTTTTAATAATATCTTCACTTTCTTTGTTACTGTTTCCTTGTCCTTATAGGCAGTGGACTTCAGCTCTATTTTAAGCTAACATTTGTTTGGTGCTTTCTAAATTCTAGGCACTGTGATAAACCCTTATTTAAATTGAGGTGTGTATACAGTTTTAATTCCCCCATTTTATAGATGAGGAAATTGAAGCTCCATAGTTCCTCTAAGGTTGCAGGCAAGACCAGTGGCTCAATCTGTGGGGCTCAGCACTTGTGCAACCCACAAACTACCAGGATGCCCTGGGGATTCCCCTCCTGCCAACTGTTGGACTGACATGCACTTCCCAGATAGGGGCAAGGAAGCCAAGCCAGGCTTCTCCTCTCTCTAAAAGCCTGCCACCCCATCTCATAGCAGACAGATGACCCCAAAGGTATTGCAACCTCCACACTGAGACTCAGTCAATAACAGGATCGACGGTGGTCAAGAGGCTCATCCCTGCCAAGCCAACTGCCAAACACACTGTAGCATTGCCAGCTTGGGCAGTGATCACTGGACAGGGCCAAGGTGTCAGGAGGTAGGAGAGTGGCAGCTGAGACCCACACCAGGGACAGTGGAGGCAGGACCTCTGTTGCTCTGGTGCACACTCCCATGTCCCATCAGACTTCTTCACTTCTAAAGCACAAACTCAAAGACAAAATTATTAGGAATTAAGATAGTGACCATAGCTCATTAGACTGCAAACAAGGGGCCCTTTTTAGTGCAGGGCCCTATGCAACCACATTGATTACACACCCATGAAGCCTGGTAACCCAGGCCTGATGGTGAACAATTCTCAATTACTAAGCAGCTCCATAGAACTCACTTGCATATGGAGCCTCTAAGCAAAACTAATAAAACTTTTTTTGTCTGGTTCTACCACCACCACCAAAGCGGTTTTCTCTGCCCTTCACTTTATGTTAGTAATAGTAATGTTCAGGATGGAACTACATTTGATTTATTTTTCTGCAATTCCCCCCTCTGTCCACACTTCATTGATTGTAAACTTGTTTTCAATTTAATGTATTCTTCTGTCTTATGCATTTCCTGCAATTTGGCAACAGGATTCAGAGGCTTGACCATGCCTTTTTAAACTGTAACATATTGTTCCTGCTCTCAGTCTTCTAATTCAGTCTACTCCTGACTGGCCATGTTAACCTCCCTTAAAATACCACATGCACATACAGTCCACATGCTCTGCTCCATCCACATCCATATCCACTTTTGTTCTCCCTTCCCCCCACATTCACATGCATGCTCTAAAATCTTCCATGGCACCTGTTAACGTATGTTAACATAAATGCTCTCCACAATCTGGGCTCAGACCAACTTTACTGGCTTCTGCTTCCCCATTCAGACCCATGAACAGTATGATTTGATAGTGCAAAAGAGCACAGTTTTAGAGACATCCAGAGCTCAAGCCATAATCTCAGCTTTGCAACTTTATTGGGATATCATTCTGGCAACTTACTTTTCTCTTTCTGCCTAGTTTTCTTTCTTTGTAAAGATAGAATAATACCACCCCCATAGAGCTGATATAAAGATTGATGAATGGATTTACATAAAGCACCTAGGAGACCGTAAGTAAAAGGGAATTATAATATTATTAATGTAATTATTATTATTATTGCAGCAACAGAGAAATAGTCGTGGTCTCCAAAAAATCCATGCTGAAGTTTCACTTTTGAGCCTTTGCTCACATTTCTTTCCCACCTAGAAAGCTATCTTAGCTTGTTTAAATCTTATCTATGGGGTGGGCAAGGAGTCCTTGGGTGGCACAAATGATTAATCACTCAGCTACTCACCAGAAATTGACAGTTCAAATCCATCCAAAGGTGCTGTGGAAGAAAGGCCTGGTGAGCTATTTCCAAAAGATCACAGTCATTGAAAACCCTATGGAGTGCAGTTCTACTGTGAAATACATAGGGTCACCATGAGTCAGAATTGACTCAACAGCAACTAGGTGGTTGCTGAGATTTTCTATCCCTATAGGAGCTCTGGTGGTGTAGTAGTTAAGCAGTTGGCTGCTAACCAATAAATTGGTGGTTCAAACCCCCCGGCCACTCCACAGAAGGTGCTTCCATAAAGATTAAAGCTTTGGAAACCCAGTGGGAGTCACTATGAGTCAGAATCAACTCAATGGCAGTGAGATTGGGTTTTTGTTTGTTTATTTGTTTGTTTTTGAGTAAATACACTGCATTATCCCTAGGACTATGAATATAACAAATTTTACTTCCATGATTATGTTATGTTATACAGCACAGATGACTTTCAAGGTTAGGAGATTAGCCAGGTGGGCCTGGACTAATCACGTGAGACCTTTATTGTTGCTGGAAAAATACATGTAATGCAGCATTTGCCAATTTAATGTTTTCACATGAGATCTCTTAAAGCAATGATTTCTCTTTAGCTAGTCGCAGAAGAAGTGAGAGATTTGAAGCAGAAGATATGATGATCTATTGCTGGCTTAAAGATGCAGGTGGATTCCAGGATCTGAGAGTCAACAAGGACCTGAATTCTGCCAACAATAAGAATGAGCTTAGAAGCAGATTTCTCCCCAGGACCTCCAGGTGAGAACTCAGTCCAGCAGACATCTAGATGTTAGCCTTGTGATACTGAGCACAGAACCCATCCATGCCATGCAGGACTTCTGACTCAACAGAACTGTGAGTTAATAAAAACCTGCCGTTTTAAGTCACTGAATCTGTGGTGACTTGTTATATGACCACTTTACATTTGACTCTGGTCTATCTGTAATAAAGGCTGCTAGATGCCCTCCCAATATCCATTCTATTCTTCCTCTATAGTAACAAAAGCCAAAAAAAAAAAAAAAACCTCACTGCCATAGAGTCGATTCCGACTCATACCAGTCCCCGTTAGGTTTCCAAGATGGTAAATCTTTACGGAATTAGATTGCCTCATCTTTCTCCCACAAAGCAGCTGGTGGTTTTGAACCACCCGCCTTCTGGTTAACAGCCAAATGCCTTATCCACTATACCACTAGAACTCCTTTCTGTAGTAATAGAACCCTAGATTTGTAATTGGGCGCTTAGGTCCAAACTCCAAACTCACTGCTATCAAGTAGATTCCAACTCATAGTAACCTCCATTGGGTTTCTAAGGCTGTAAATCTTCATGCAAGTAGATTGCCTCATCTTTCCTCTGTGGAGCAGCTGGTGGATTCAAACCACTGACCTTTTGGTTAGCAGTCAAATCCTTAACCACTACACCACCAGAGCTCCTTGGGCACTTAGCTATACATTTCCAATTTTACACTAGGCAAGTTACATACAAAATTTCAGTTTTCTCATCTCTAAAATAGAGGTGATGATAATGTTTTCAATCTCATTAAATAGAGAGGTTGACAATACACTAGGTGTTCAAAAAATGTTAGCAGATATTGAGGTCAATTCATAGCCTGCATTAGACTACGGAACCATTATTAATAACCATAAAACTAAGTTGCAAATGTGTGGTAAAGACAAGGTAATGCTCAAGTTTCACGTAGGAGGAGATCACCATGGGCGTGAGTGTAAGAAGGGGTTTATGGAGCAATGGAAATGTATCTGGTCTGAAAGGAAGAATAACATTTGGTTAGGCAGGCAAGAAGGCAAGCATTCCAGAATGATTAAAGGAAGTGGACGCACGTTCCAGGCCAGTGATTAAATTAGTCAGACTGGAGTGACTGCTCA